AGCAAATTACTCGCAAGAGTTGAGTTAATACTTGACCGACTTTTGAGAGCAGATTAAGTTTCTCAACCGATTCCCGAAAGTGGATTAAGTCCGTCAACCGTAACATTCTAAAAATAGATGCGGTTCTTTGCGAGTTACAACCTATGCGGAAAGGCATAATGTGATCTGCGTGAGATTTAGTTGCAGAGAATTTGAAATAGAATAGCATCGAAGTGATAAGTTCTGCATAAGGTTTCTCATACTGACCATTTGAGTTTTTACCCTGGCCAGCCCAAGCGGCTATACCCTAGCACAAACACCTCAGGTATAAAACCAAAGGTGAGGTCAGAAATATATACATACATTAGCACTTTATTTAAAGTCTACTACATTGCACTGTAACATTTTTTTGTCAGCACCGGCCTGAATTGACCCAGCGCATATCCTCCATTGTCGACTCACTTGGCCCAACCTTCAAACGGGAATTTACTGACCACTTCTTCCCATCGATCTTCCCCGAACCATTCCAACGGCTATGGGAGCCATACCGTATGTACATAAATTGTAACTTATCTCCTTTGAAATAAATATTAATATTCCTATCTCGGATTGTGCTCTTCGGTTACATAAGTAAATATATTCCAAACTATGCACAGCGGGCCGAGCTATTATATAAGCTGTTGGGTAGAAAACGGAAAGGCACTAAGGTTAAGAATATCCCAATAAGAAAACAACTCATCAGGCAGTAGCATTTAACGATCTCAAACGAGCACTAGTAATTACCGCGCTAGGATATTCTGACTGTTCTAAAGATGTTGAGCAATTTCGGGTCAAAATAGATGCTTGCTAAGTTAGCGAAGGACGTGTTAACCCAGATATAGAAAACAGGTGATAAAACAAGATAAATCATGCTAAATTACTACTCTATAGCATTCAAGAGTCATGAATTACCGTGGCATAAAAAACATAAAAAGGCGCATATCAAAAAATATGGCGCATAGTATGATATGGGCCTATACGCACGCAGTAAATTACTTTGTGCACGGAAGGGAGTCTGAATGTTGAACTGATCATCGCCCGAACTTAGCGATGTCTTGGAAGTGCATGCACAGCGAAAGACTGTTCCGATGGGCGCTAAAGCTTCAGGAACTTTGAATGAAAATCAAATACATGACAGGAGAGAGCCACGTACAAGCCGATGTCATGTCGAGATTAAAGTACATTCAAACCGCGTGCACCGTATCCGCAATTATGAAACAACTCTCAGGGTCGTGCGTGCATTAAATTACTCATGTTGGGGCACAATTGGATACCACCAAAGAAATACAGCAAGCGGATAAGAGGCTAACCCAATTGATATCTTACCTGGAGGATGCCTGTCAGACAGAATCCAGAAAGCTCTTTCAAAGCTCGAGCCCAGCGTTTAGGTTGAACAGTGGAGGTACTGAAAAACCCCCTTAAAGTCTCAACCAGAGTCCACATAGATGATCACGGCATACACGATAAGGTGGCAGATTCCCCAGGCAGATGCACGCAGCTGATTGTATGCGCAATGAATTTCTAACCGTCGCTCACGATATACCGGCAGACCTATGGCCATCACGGAGTAGAAGGGATGTACATATGTAATACCGACTATTTAAGTTAGTTTACTGGCTTGGGTTGTTCAAGGATGTTGAATACAATGTGTATAAAATCATGTCTAAGCTGTCAAAGAATCAAAACAAACCCAAATCAGCGAGAACAAGCGACAGTATTTGACACATAACTGCTAAGATTTGTCGAGAAAGTGGTTGTAGACGTTTAGGAACCATTTCCAAAAACAAATCAATGAAGAAAAATCATTACGTTCGTATACCACTACAAAGGATTTTGCGTACTTGACACAACTGAACGTAGGATTGTAAAAACATTTATTAGCAAGATAATACTCAGGTACGGAGCAGTTCATAAGCTCATCAACGATCGAGATTCTGATTTCTTATCAGAGATTGAGCGCAAAACGGCAAAGGATAATTATTTTGATGAAGACAAAATTTGTAAAGCAGCTGTGTCTTTTTACAACATCGAAGTGGCAGAGATGCTGATGTTGTTATGTCGGGATAAGAATATTAAATATTTCGTGGCTCCAATGGAAACGGAGCAGCAATTACTGGCCATGCAGGTACAATCTCGTATAGACTATATATTAGCTTACGATAGCGATTATTGGCTGTAATAGGGTCGTACTAGATTCGAAGTGGAAGACGGGCGTGGCAAATATATTTAGAAGAAATAACTGCACGAAAGCCAGTATTTTGACAAAGCTGCAGTAAATTGAACAGACGAGGTAGGAGATAGGACTAAGCTCAAAGCTACACAAGTCAAGTTCCTGACTGCTGTCACTAATTTTGGCTTCAATCACACAATTTTGTTAACTGGGTCCTTCCTCCAAAGTGATTATAGAGTTAGAACCGGTATGGCTGTGGTTTCATACTGTGATTGGCTTGAGTGGCACACAGCAAACAAAGGTGGTATACCAATTATACACGATGCGATGGTGTATAAGACATTATCAGTCGATGCTATGACCAAAGCAGTGTACGAAATAGATGCGGCGAAATTCAAGTTTTCGCGTAATCAGTATTTGTTTGGGTTGATGATCACGTGGATACAGCAGCAACTACATACGAGCCGACATATGTGTTTGGTGACGATCTACCCTCTAGTGGATATGAAATAGAATCTGACTATACTATAGCGAAACGGCATTCACCTGTTGATGTATTTGATGAGGACCTGCCCACCAGTGGGTATGAGATCAAATGCTTGCATGATATCCGCTCACGTGCAATATTTCTGTCAGCTTGTGCACGCTCTTCACTAAATGCAAATTGGCTGAGCTGCTTTTTTTTTTGCGCGGCTTACATACACATATGCTCAGTTTTTCGATCTCATGTCTGTCGGTAAGGCCCTTATCGTAAATGTACACCATACGCGTACTTCCATCACCGCTGATCTTACGCGGTCCATAGTTCTCATTTGCATGCACGCCGTTATAGGTCGCTAACCCTGGGAATCTTTTTGATATATCGCAAAGGTGTGGCACGTACCTTCATTAGAGACTACATTGTATTTTAACCATTTGATCTTGATATTTTAGACTGACCGGAGGCCGTATTCCTACAATGCCTCGTTTTAAATCTAATTCAATTCAAAAATCCTAAGCAAAAACCCACGGTATGACGCAATCCCACTGGTGTGATACGCCACTCACAGTTAAATATCCTCTCGAACTCATGCTGTTGTGCGTACGCTCATTGTAGTCCGCCTTATCTGCGTCATGCTGATCAATCGAATGTCAATTCTTCTGTGTAGGGTTGTTCGTATGTACAAGATTGTTTCTAGTCTTCGATTGTATCAATAATGTATTACTAAAACGAACACGCCATGATTTTTGTAGCGCTATATATTAACATTATGTATAGATGGATTCGCTTTCAAATATTAAAGACTAATGGGTAAGGTAATATCTATACATAATCTGATTGGCCTCAGATTTCTAGATACTATGCAATTGTTGGCCATTGATAAGCTACTAAGTCTGTCATGGATGTGTGTATCTATTTGTAGAGTTTCAACCCCGATAGCGGTGAAGTCGAGAACAAGATCACTTCATTCAATGATCAAACACTACCAGCTTTGCATATAGTTGTACCAGAATTGGTAAAGATACTATTTTGTGAACAACATACGTATGTATATATGAAAACCCACATATGCGAGTCTGAAAATATGACTTGTAGTTGTAATGGATAAGACATAGTATTCTAATACATTAAAAGAGAAAGTCCAGATGTCCAAAAAAGAAAAAAAGAAAAAGAGATTTTATGTAAATAACAGGGCCACCTCTCAGGTTCTCACCTCGCGTCACAAGGTTTAATACCGTTGAGGTCCCAGTTCCCACGGAACATTTTTTTTAGCGCTCCTGTCATTTTGAAACTACCGATTCATTTGTCAGGTTCATTTTTTGGGGAATTCAGAGTCAGATATGTACTCAGATTCTCAGTCTCATCAGACTCTCTTCTCAGTCCGAAAAGTGATCAGAGTCCCCGACTCTCAGACTCACAGAGTCACAGTCTGTCTCAGACTCGCAGTCTGTCACAAGAAGAGATGTTAACAAAAAAAAAAAGGGATGTGTCACCGTTTTTTAATCATTTTCGACCAATCGCTGGCAACAACCGGTTGTATTTGCGCGGCAAATATTATAATCAGGACGTCCAGCTTTTTTGAGTTCAGGCGTTCAGCACAGAGAGAGCCCGAGTCCTAAAGTGGGCCCGGTAGACATAATATATTTATTTAATTACATATTTACTTCTTGTGAATACGTGGTTGATTCTAGTAGACTCGAGAGCTACTGTCGTACAACAATGATACTGTAGAGATTACAAAATCGCATTATGCTTTCAGCCGTAAAAAGTCCTGCGAGCGAAGGTGCGTCACAGCACCCGCCCCCACAAACACCCACAACACAGGCTGCAAGCATTGAATCGAACTCTTCAAGTATGAAAGCGCCGAATCAAGAAGAGGAATGTGAAGAAGATGCGACACAAGCAGCTACACCACGGCCAGTAGAGGATGAACCAAAAGTGGCTACACAACGCTTGGTGATCCAGAAGATGGTACTGGAGAATTTCAAGTCATACGCTGGGCGCGTTGAAGTGGGACCGTTCCATAAGGTAATATATCATAATTTAGTACTACCTGCGACCTTCTTTGTACAATTCGTGTCCGTGAGTGACATGTGAACGGCGACCGATCGGTAAACAACGGTGGTCACAAGCTCTTCATACTGCATATTCACACACTCGCATACGTCAATTGCTCGTGCAAAAGGTCACTCATGTACGGTGATCTGTTGTCCGTTTACAGCGTTGGTTCCTTTTTGTGTATTTGCTTCAACAGATGTACCCGTATACCATCTCAAATGAACCTAATCCGATTGCAAAAGCTATTTTAGACTTTATAGTAACCAAGTTATTATGTCAATTTACACTACACACACACACACACACACACACACACACACACACACACACACACACACACA